ATTCATATCAGTGCTAGAAATATGCCCAGAATATCCAGAATGTATGGAGACTGATGGTAGATGTGACAAAGGACATGTCATGGATCTGCTTTCTGTAGCAGATGCTGGTGGCTTTGCAATGTAACCTGAAGAGCCTGAGGTGGTTCAGGATCCTGTCCCGCACCAAGCTCCACATAGTCAACTGTTTACACCATGTTTCTCTCACATATTCTAACCTCCTGATATTTAATTTCTCACGGGCATGGATTTTTTTATATTTATTTATTTTGAGAGCGGTGAATTTGTGGCCATCAACTCAGACCACGGGAAATCTGATCGGGCAGTTGGAGACCAGCCGGTTGAGTGCCCTAATTAACAGGAGCATGTAATTAAAATTTAAGCAGATGTGGCTTGGGCAGGTGGTATTTCCTGAACGCATTCAGTTTCCTGTGTGTGCACACTCTTATGTGATGGATACAAATAAATGCTCCTCCTGCCACTGTGGAAGACACGGGTGCATGTGCTGAGCAGTTGGTCTGTGCGGGTGCTGTGCACTCACCCAGCGCCGCTGAAACTGCCACAGCTCGGCTCTTAATGGTCTGAAACGAGCTCTGAAATCCTCAACATATGCAAACATTTTTAAAACTCAGCCTGAACAAAGTTTGTGGGTAGGAAAAAAAGACATATGCATGGGAGGCTATAAATATAATAACCCCATATGATGTGTTTCTTGCATTCTTTTGTGATTGTCTGCTACCAGCTGCTGTTGGGAGCATCGTATTAGACAAGATAACACTTTGATCTGGTGTAGCTTTGCAAAATCTGTGAATTCGTTGCGGCTCACGAAATTTGAAAACCACTACTCAGCTGAAAAATCGGCCAGTAAAAATTCCAAAATCACATTTGTTTTTAGTTCTTATCTAAAATTCCAAAAATTGCTTTATCAACAATTTCAGTGAACTGGAAGAAAATAAAGAGTAAAAATTTACAGTCGGAATCTGGGAATAAGGCACTTAGATAGACTTTTAACTCTGAAAAACTGTAATTCAGAAGATTTTTTTTTTTAATAGGCCACGAAGTGTAGGCCATTTCACCGTGCTCGTTTCAGTACAGGCATCAAATGTGTAAAAAAAAAAAAAATACAAAGAAACCACACTTGAAGTTCTTCATATTTGAGGGGAAGTTTTGTCCCTGTAGGTTGTTAAGATTGAATCTATAGAATCCTGCTGCAATTTTAGATTTGTTTCGTGGGGGGTTTATAGCAATTTAATAGGATTATCTGAGAAGTAATTAAATTATACAGTTAAATTATTCCATTTTTAGGTCGTTAGAGTGACCTGTTGTAACTTTTCAGTATCTGTTGAGTGGTGTTTTGCAGTGTCCCAGCAATGAGCAGCGAGCTTATTTGCAGTACCTTGTTCTCTCCTTTAGCAAGCTGTGTCAAAAAGTGCTGTTGTAGCAAATGACTTTCCATTAAGCCACAGAAGGTCCATGTTCCCCATGGTTACCAAATTAAAACTGAAATTTGTGTATTTTGTGTGCGTGTTCATTTATCTTTTATAATCGTCTGTTAAGGAATGGCCTTTTGAAGCTTCAGAGGCTGCAGAACACCTGGCTTTATTTCATGTGTATCTTGGTCTTATTTCAAGTTGTTTTCCTATCTTTAGGACTTTGAATCTTCAACACTGGTGGTCTCTTCCTCCTCACTAGGCAGGACATTTAACTGATCAGGCTGTAAAGTACAACTGAGATTTCTTATTTAGACAAGAATTCTAATCATGTGTCTTCATAAACATTTTTTTGATCTTGTCGTCATATCAGAGTGGGAAAACTTTACCTTGTTCATTTGAAGTAGGGTGTGCTTTCTGAGTTTTAAGTTCAGTTTTATCTGTTTATCAGTTCAGGAACTGAACATATTTGAGATAGAGCAGAATGCTCATAAAACAAATTTATATCCTGTTCTGACGTACATTAGTTCAATATCTGATCTGCATTAGAAAGTAAAGGCCAGTAATTTTTGGAAATCTCTTTGAGAGCATCCTATAAGGGCACAGTAGTATTCAGACTGTTATTGTTATATTTATTAGTGTTGATTCTAACTTGAGACCAAATCAAGTCTGTGGTGGCTCCACTTTACTAGATTATATAGATTTACAGCAACTGAGATGTGCCCATTAGCTTTGTGGTTATTCCCATTGAATGAACCTGAAAAAAAAACTGAATAAAGTAGCTTTTTAAATGTGAGCAAGGGAATCAAAAATTTGGCTGAGGTTATTAAAGGCAGTATTGTAAGTGGAAATTGGCAATCACATTGCTATTGATTCCTACTGAAAGTGCAGCCGCCTGCAGAGCTGAGAAACATCCTCATCCCAAGGGCCTCCTTCCCTCCACTGCTTAAATCTTACTGCTGTGAGTCTCTGAGGCCTGGAAGTTTTAGGAAGTAAGTTAATTGAGAATTTGTAGAGAAGGACTAAGAAGTGCATGTGAGGTGTTGGGATTTTTCCAGGCAGAACTGCCAAACTTTGCACTTTTCCAAATTTGGCTGGGTTTAGAAAATACTGTTTTTGCATATTATGCGTGGTGCACAATTAGTATGTGAAAAAATAATGAGTTAAATTAACTCTGACTTTAAGTTCATACAGTCAGCATCAAAGGCAAATGCGAGTTAGGGATTATAATAAATCTGGAAAAAAAATCTTTCTGGTGCTGTTCGTAAGGTTTATTAAAGTATTCTAATATGTGCTGATTTATTGTAATATAATGTGTGCTTATAATTTGATATTTGATTTTAACATGCTTTAAAGATGTTATGGAGTAAATAGTGAGTGTGCTCATTTCTGTAACTTAATCAGATATGTTGTCACAAAAGTTTCAAATACATTCTTATTTAATTATGAAGCGGAAAGTAATTTTTCTTCTATTACTAAGGGAGCAATTTGCTTATTCCTCTCTTAATGCTTAATTCCTTTTATTGCAACTCAGTACTTCTTCTTGCAATATGCCATAACCTTATTGGCCTAGGATAAATTTCTTTAATTATTAATTCTATTAATGCTTCCATCACCTGAGGGAAATGCAGATATTCTGTTAATGATTGTGTTAATCAAACAGCTTTCTGTATTTCTGCACTGCCCAAGTTTATGTCATTACATTAACAGGCACAGGAGATGAAATTGGAAACTTGTAATATACTACAGATTGGATTAACTCATCTGTTTGGTGTAGACTGCTCGAAGACTTATTTTAGATAATTTAAAAAGATTAAATCTGTGAGACAGTTATTCTTCCTGACAGGATCCCTGAAGTCTTCAACTTAAGTCCAGTGTTCTTGTAAAGATTTTAAACTTTGCTCCAACTGGGTTATTCACATACAGTGTGACCTGGGATACAATATATTGCTTTGAGCAAATATATTTAAAAAAACCCCCACAACAACAAACTAACTTCTTTATATAAATATATGTATATTTTTAAAAGGCCTTTGATGTTGGAATAATTATTTTGCCTATGTAGTGTGATAATGGACATTAGACACTGAATATAGTACACCATTTTTGAGCCTTTTCTAGGTGTAATAGGTGCCATAACTTCCCTTTCTGTCTTTTTTAAGGGTTTGATGTTATCTAGGCAGTAAATGTTGATTTTTTTTTTTTTAAAGGTTTGTTCAACCACAAGATAGTTTTGTTGAGGTGAAGAAGGGAGTCTTTGTGATTGACTTCTGTCCTGGGGTTAGTGCAGACCCTTCTGGAAGTAGTGCTGGTACCTTTATCCAGGAGTATCTCACATGCAGCATTGCAGGGGTACCACAGCACTTGGTGGGATTCTCAAATACCTATTGCTTGCTTAAAAAGATTGTACATTATTCACCCTTTTTTTTCATGTGTGCAAGACAGCCAGGGTATTTTTTTTTCATTCTACTAAGACCTAAGACCTTAAAGCAGCTAAATTTAATTGGCCTTTTTGTGAAGAGATGATTGAGGACAAGAGTTTCAGTGTCTCTGTGCTTGGAAATCAATACCTCTGTGATCCTTAATCTTCTTTCTCAGTCCTGAGAGCTTCATAGAAACACACACACACACAATAAAAAAAATCCTCAGAAAATTCAGCAAATATTCCATAAACTTTTTGTGCTGTGTTTGGATAGTGCTTTTTATTTGAATAATAATGCATTTTTTTTTTGCTGTCCTGCTTTGCTTAAATGACTGCTTGCCTATATAAGTAGGGAAAACCTTTAGCTGTCCCTTCAGCATGCCTGTCCTCTAAAGTTATCATGCAAATAGTTTCAACATCTCGAATCTTTTGGCATTTGCTGGGGAGGAGGGTGGTCCTTTGGTGCCCTCATCCTGTGGCCCATCTGGCAGCCAGTGTTGAACCCTGATGCAAACCTGGTGATACACACCCAGACCAACCTGTCTGAATCCTCAGTTGACCTGTCAGTAGATAATTTCCAGGTTTGTCTCTGTGTTTGCCAAGGTGGTTGCTCAGCTAATCCTGTAGTGCAGATAGGAAATCTCAGGAGGACACCCTGACAGTGACCACAATATTTGGGGGAACAGTTGCATTCTGCTTAGTAAATTTCCTTTACTTGTTGAATTAAAGTCAAACATATAATTACAACTAATTTTCAGCATCATGCCCTCCCTGAAATCCCTGAAATGTGACTTCAGATTGTGTACTTCCTATTTAAAAGTTGATTAAATTGATGCTCTATCAGAAATTTGATCAGTGCCACATATATGAATTTCAAAACAGTTATGTGATAATTTCTGTAGGATCCTTTATTTCAATTGAATGTTTTTCCTATAATTATTTTTAATTTTATTTCTCAAAAAGCAGTTGCTTTTGTCTCATAGTTGATAAGAAATTATTTGCAAAGGAGTGAAGGGTGGTTGGGTTTTTTTGCACATTTGATGATAGATTATGAATAAAATTATGCGCTGATGCCTACTAAGGTACAAATGTTATGGTGGGAAAGAAACTAAACCTGTGTTTACTTGTGTGTTGTTTTGGTTTTTTTCCAGAGATTTGTTACAGTTCCCTAGGGAAGATGATGTAGACATTGCAATGAAAATTCTGGTTCAGTGGCATTCCCAAGGCCTGGAAGATGTCCGGCTGGTGAATTACTCTGTTCTGCTTGACCTACCAGGCTCTTCTTCAAACACAGTAACTCTGAAAAGCAGTGGTGAATGCTTTTATCCGAGTGGGCAACAGTGCAGCAGAGACCCCAAAACACTTCATAGCCAAGACCTCCTGTACTCGTATGCAGCTTACTCTGCCAAAGGAACTCTTGAGGTAATGTGACCATTTGTCTCTGTCATTTGTGGTGAAATAGAGTTAGAAAACACCAGCTTTTGTTGACCTTGACTGGAAAATGGCACATAGGATCATAGAAGCATTTAGGTAGGGAAAGCCCTGTAAGATCATCAAATCCAGTCGTTAACATGGTGAAATGCCCAGCCTATTTTAAAATAAGCACATTTGCATAAAATATGATGTGGCCAATCTTATTTAATCTTACAATCTTAAGTCAAGTTTATAAACTAGTCAGACCTGAATACTTCATATGAGATAGATAGATAGATAGATAGATATAAATTAATTTTTTTTTAAGTATCTGTGTTTATAAATTGTCTTGGGTATAAAACTCTGAAAGCTGTGTCTAGAGCTACACTTTATCTTGCTGATGTATGAGTGCTACTGGTTTGAGGGATGCTCGTAGGAAGGGCATGCAGGATGAGGCTTTTTGCACTAAGGCAGGTGGGAGTGCTGGGCTAATACCTGGAGCTCCTGAATTACGGTCGTGGATCTCACATACTTTCTTTTATGACAACTCAGTTGACACATCTGCTCTGTTTCCTCTTGAAACCCCCAATTTGTAGTTTCATTGTACTGTAGCTTTTGTTGGGAAGTTTTGTCAGCGAAAAGATCCTGCCTATTGGGATTTGTTACTCGACAAGTGAAAGAAGATCTTGGATTATCTTGTTTTATCCTGTTTACTGTCTTCACTGCCTGCCTTCCTTTAGATCCTTTCCAAATACATTGGGGGTGCACAAAAGGATCATGATTTGTTTGCTTTCCTAGCTGAGATAGTATAAATCTCAATAAATATTTCTGAAATATAAAAACTTCAATTTCTCTGCTAACTGCATTAGCAGTTAGCTAATGTCTTTCTCCTTTTTTACAATATTGTATGTTATTCCAGTGTTGCAGGAGGTTTTCCATCTTGCCTTCTTTTTGATTTAAAATGCATGTTTGTTTTCATGACTTAGAACACTATTACACCACATAGGAATAGATTTTGAATTGCTTTGGGTTTGGAGGAACCTATTCCAAAATAACTTTATACTTTTTGAATATCTTAATATTTAAAATTATCAATTACTTCATTTCTAACATAAAAATAGAACTGTCATGTATTTTCCTCTTGCTTGTGACAACGTCTGCCCGTAAGTTTTATTGATAACATGTAAAATGCTGTGGAACTCTTGCAATAACTCAAAATGGGGAAAGCTGCACAATGCTAACTAAACCATTGTATAGACTATTAATCTAATTTTGAATTTTTGACTGTAGGAAATATGAGGACTGGGTAAAAAGTTTCTCATCTTGAAGTCAGCAAGCTTCAGCATCTTTTTCTTAAAAGCATTGAAGCTTTTTAATCCTATAGAGGAGCAGGAATGGAGTTCTTGTTCTTCTTTGGGAGAAAAGCTTCTCTCCATCTCCTGTTTTTGTGTACTGACCATGCCTACTTTCCATACTGAGTCTCGTGAGCCCCTGTTCTGGAGATCTGTCCACTTCAGAGTTTGCTGTTAAGAAGAGAAATGAAGTAGGCAAGAGGAGATCCTAACCTACATGATGTATGCTTTAACTTCTCCATGGGAAAATAAAAAGGACAAATGAATGGGTTTTCCTTCTCATATCATATAAAAACTCTATATTTAATATTATTTTCTCATTGTAACTTAATAAGAGTAACTGTAATGAGATAAAAGTACAGTTGTGACCTTTAAGGTTTTATTTCATAAAAATCAATGTGTTGCTAACCAATTCATCAGATTAAAGGAAATCCAATGTTCCGGGAAAAATCCTTGATGTTATTACCAGCAGCACATACACCACCTTCCATTATGTTTCAGGGCAGTTTTCTCTCCAAGTTCAGCAGAAACGAGGACCACACACACTGTACTAATCACAAGGGTTGGACCTTGGCTTTGGCAAAACTCCAGACTTGTTCTTGAGCCAAAGTGTGACTCTCTGTGCACAGTTTTACAGTCAGTTCTTTGAGACACCTTAGCACCCTTACAAAACTTCAGATCTGTTCTTTTATTCTTCAGAAAGTCTGTCCAAAACGTCCTGAGTTCTAGAGTTTTGCCTAAAAGGGAAATTTCCCCATTTGTTTGGGGTACAGATGAGTTGGTAGTGATCTAAGCATCCTGACTTTCAATCCTGTACACTAATCTCTATTATTTAAATTAATGGAAATAGAAAAACTTTAAATGAGAAGTTGCAGGTGGTGGCTGTTGCTGGGTTCAGCCATCAGAAAGTGACTTGACTGCTTGTGGTGGATCTACAAGGCGCATATTTTGAATATCCTGCCGTGGGTTGTGATTGTGAAATCATGAGGGCTTTCCTGTGAAAAGGTATTTTTATAACAGCTACTCATAATCTGAATAATTTTCTTTCAAATGTGACACATCTTTAGCAGAAAATTTCCATTATGTGTCACCTAATCAGGTTGAATTGCTGATACTGCTTCAGTGCTGCTGCTTCATTGTATCTCATTTGTCTGTTTGGTTTGCTAGAAGTTCAAGCAGATAAAACCATTAAGCTATTGCAGTCTGGCTACCAGCAGAGCTACAGCTCTACCTTCACGTTGACAAGGTTATTTGTAGAACAGCAAGGCTCATTTTCTTTGACCACCTGTCATGTCCATTCATCATACGACCATTGTGTATGAGCCATCCAATTTGTGCTTTCTGGTAACAGTCTAAACAGCATTTGTGAGTAAAAATGTGAGCATTTGTGATCTGAAATCTACTTCAAAAACCTACTTAGTGCCATTGTGATGGATGGTGCACTTTACTGCTTCTCTATATTTCATTGGGCTGTGAAAAGGTGACACTGTTTACCCATCACGGTGACAGGCAGGGCAGCTTACAGTTCCGGAGAGGGCTGTCTAGTCAGTTTTGAAATAGATATTGCAGCAGTTATGTAAATAATATCTCGTAGGCTAGGTCAGTCTAAGGCAAGTATGACATACGTGAAATATATTTTTATTAAAACTTAAATATCAGCCACCTTTTATGGAGTTTAAACCTTTTGTCTGCTTGATGAAAACAGGAAAGCTGTTCTGGCCAACAGAGTGCACATATAAATGGAAATTACATTGCATCAAATTTATGCATTAAAGCAAAATGCATTGTCAAATGGTATGTAGCCAGTCTGCGTGTAGTGTGGTGAATCCGAATGTGCTGCTCCCTGCCTCCTCAGTGTGTGGTGATCCAGGAGCTGTGTCTGTGTGTGCTGTCACTGGTGGAGGGATGAGCTGGGGAACCATCAGTGAGAGGTGATGATAGGAGGATGTGAACCCCCAGAGATCTGGTGTCCCTGTTCAGCACCTGGTTGGTAAGTGGTGTCAAGGTCAGCACACCTGTAGCCCATCTGTTGGCACACGTGGTGGTGATCCCTAGAGTGCAGTGAAGGATAAAGAAGGGTATGTTTTGGCTGGCAGTGCAGCAGGAGGCTGGGTGGTACTTGGGGCATCTGGTTTAAATCAGGCCCACTGAGTGCAGCCAACTTTAGGATGAAACATGTTCAGTTTTGGTGTTCAAAGTTTGTCTGCTCTGTCCTCTGTTTCTTTAGCAGCTGTAGAGACAGTCTAAGCAGAGGTAATGGTTGATGTGTTAGGACAGCATTCAAGGACAGACTAATTAAAGCAAAATGAAGAATATGTTTGCTTTGTATTCCCGCATTTTATGGAATAATGTTTGTGTGAACTGAAGTTTTTCTTGACTTCCTTTCACCTTAAATTTATTCACTCTCTTTTTGTGGAAGTATTAAGGAACTTTTGAAAATCCTGTCTGCTTTAATACTTTAACTCAGATATTTAATGTCCTCTGTTATATGACATAATCTCATACTACACTACACTGCCTCTTACTGGAATAACTGCTGCCAAATCCCTGTTGGTTCCTTTGCTGCTTCTCTGTGCTTTCTTCTTTTTATTTCCTCATGGATGCTTTCAGCAAGCCCATCAAAAACATCTCTTTTCTTTCCTGGACCTCATATACTGAAAGGACTATGTTGGTTCAGGAACGAGAAGAGGACGCAAGAAAAGTACAAGTACTGGCATGTTCTTGAAATGGGAATGCATATGCAGGTGGGGTTTGATGGTTTCATGGACAGAAATGAATAGTGCCCATCTCTGAGGCAGTTCTCCCAACACCCAACTATGTCTTTTTAGTACCTTGACCCCTGCTCTGCTCCTGTTTCCCTGCTCAGACTTCTCTGCTGTGTCACCTTCCTTCCCTGCCGGCTTCCATGTTCCCTGTTTCTATCAGTTTCTCTGTTTGCAGTGTCTGATGTGAGACATTTCTACTCCCAACTCAGCCAGTGGTATCTTTGATTAGTTTTGGAGGGGCATCAGGGAGCAGACAAGTGAGAATTCCGATTGCTTGCCTCTATCTACAACATGCAGAAGAGATTCTCTACATCTGCTGATCACATATCATCCTGCTCCGCTTCATTTGTTTTGGTGACATTTTCTCAGCTATATGAGAACCCACCACAGAGATTAATGCAACCTGAAGCAATATGGGAAGTACAAGCCCATCTGTTAAGCTCACTCAGTGATCTTCCCACCATTCTTCAGTCTTGGCAAGTTGGAATAAGGGAAGGAGGACTCAGATTGCTGTCAGATCCTTTCACAAGGAGGGGGTCTTGGTCACTTCTTACCGGATACCCCATCTTCTTATGGCTGTGTTGAGATGTCTCTTTCTCCCCATCATCCCCTTCTTTCTCAGGTCCATCACTCTGCAGGAAGATGGGAGTCTTGCTCTCCTCTATTGCATGTCCCTCTAAACTTTCCCGCTCCTTCCAGGCTCTCCACTTGTGTGTCCTGCAGTCCCTTCCCCTCTATGCTCAGGTTCACAGTGCTGCAGCCCTGTTTCCTGGTAGTGCTGTCAGCTCTCTGTATTTCCAGCTCTGCACCAAAATGTCTGGAGTTCTCTGGAGGGGACAGTGCATCGGGAAGTCCTTGACCCAACAGCTTGCTTTCATTTGATTCGGTTTCA